TATTTTAGCATGTAGTTGCCCTGCTTAGTTTAGTGTGTAGGTTTTGGCCTACATGTATGGGCTTTAGTTCCAATGAAAGTTAGTTTTCTGAGCCCTTAGAAGCCATAATCCTGTGGTCATCTGCTCTGGGTTTAGGCCATCTCTCAAGATTTTAGAAACCCCTAAAGGAACCTGATTGCAGTGTTGCAAGCTTCTATGAAGTCCCAGACGTTTCTATTCAACTACAATTTTCCAAGACCAGAGACATAGCTCAAAACCCACTGTTCTACTACTATAGTTACTACTATTTTGGCAAATTATATTGACTAAAGAGAAATGTCCTCACAATGGTTGATGTTGACATTTTTATCCTTTCTGCCTAAAATGGGTCTATGCTGCAAATTATACCTTCCTAAACAGCATGCATATACCTTTTCCTTACTAATATATTTTCTTACAGAGTTTGCTTTGAAACAGTTTGTCAACTTCATGAAATGATGCTAGTTCATCTGAAATATTTATTATAACAAATACATTTTAACTTTAACCTTTACATTTAACTTTACATTTTAACTTTCTTTTAACTTTAAGAATTTTAGAGGATAATCTTTTTTATTATCTCTAAGAATTTTATAGGATAGTTTCATTGATGGACTAAGAGAAGTAGTATAACTTTCCCATACCATTTTCATTTTTAAAAAGTAATTTCCTCCCTGTCATAAACAAAATGGTGGGTGCAGTTTTAGATAGGGTAGTCAAGGAATGCCTTCTCAAAAGAAGGTAATATTTGAACTGAGATGATACAATGAGAATCTAGCTATACAAACATCTGGGGGAATAGCCTCTAAGACAAAGGAAACAGAAGTGCAAAAGCTCTGAGATGGGAACATGATAAGTGTATTTGAGAAACAACAAGGAAAGAAGTGTAGCAGCATGAGTAAGGAGGCAAGTAATAGTGGAAGAGATCAAAGAGAATGACAGGAGTCATTCCTGTAGGGCCCTATAGGCTATAGTGAGGACATTGGATTTTATTCCAAGGGATTCCACTTAGATAGGTAATAAGGCTTTGGAGGGCTTTGAAAGGATTTTAAATGACGTGATCAGATTTTCATTTTAGAATGATCACTCCGGCTGTGATGTAGAGAATAAATTGAAGTGGGGTCAAGAGTATAATCAGGGAGAGCAATGAGGATGCTATTACAGTGGTCCAGGCAAGGATGACTATTTTCTCTGGACCATGCTTAAACATATAGCCCATTGGTTTGGATGTAAGTGATGAAGAAAATGTGAAGGGTTAAGAATGACTCTTAGGTTTTTGCTTGAGCCACTGTTGAATGGGGAAGTCATTTACTGAGATGGGGAAAACTGTAAGAAAAACATGTTTGTGATGATAGGGAATCAAGTGTTCCACTCTGGCCATGTTAAATTTGAAATGTCTTTTAGACATATAAAGGAAGTGGTTAAACAAGAGGTAAGATATATGAATGTGGAGCTCAGAGAAGAGGTCTGGACTAAAGATGAAAATGTGGGAGTCATCAGCATGCATAGATAATATATAAAGCCATGGGACTGAATGAAATCATTTAGAGAGCACAGACAGATGAAAGAGCCCAACCTTCAAACTCTAGAACACTCCAACATTTAGAGGTGGGATAAAAGGGGGAAAAGTAGCAACAAAACTGAAAAAAGTAACCAGTTGGGTAGGAAAATATGGTTCACTGAAGTTAGGAGAGGAAATTATTTCAAAAAAGAAGAAGTGTTCTGGGACTTCCCTGATGGCGCAGTGGTTAAGGATCTGCCTGCCAATGCGGGGGACATGGGTTCAAGCCCTGGTTCAGGAAGATCCCACATGCCACGGAGCAACTAAACCCATGCACCACAACAACTGAGCCTGCGCCCTAGAGCCCACAAGCCACAACTACCCAGCCCGCGTGCCACAACTAATGAAGCCCGCATGCTCCGCAACAAGAGAAGCCACCGCAATGAGAAACCCATGCACTGCAATGAAGAGTAGCCCCTGCTTGCCGCAACTAGAGAAAGACCACACGCAGTCAAAAATTAAAATTAATTAATTAATTAATTAAAAAGAAAGAAGTGTTCAATCATGTTGAATGCTTAAGAGGTTGAATAATATGAAAATAGCAAAATGACTATGGAGTTCAGTAATGTAGAATTTATTAGTGACTTTGACAAATGTATTTTCAGTGGCGTCGTGGGGAATAAAAGTCCAACTGGGGAAGATTGAAGACTGAATGGGTTAACAGATGAATGGATAAAAAAAATATGGCATGTCTGCACAATGGAATATTATTCAGCCATAAAAAGGAATGAAGTACTGATACATGCTACAACATGGATGAACCTTGAAACATTACACTAAATGAAAGAAGCCAGTCACAAAAGACCACATATTATATGATTACATTTAAATTAAATGTCCAGAATTGGCAATTCTACAGAGACAAAAAGTAGATCAGTGGTTTCTTAAGGTGTGGTAGGATGAGGGATATGGGGGTGATAGAAAAAGGGTACAGAGTTTGTTTTTGAGGATGAAAATGTTCCAATTCTATGATTATACTAAAAACCATTAAATTGTACTTAAAATGGATGAACTGTATGATATGTGAATTATAGCTTCAATAAAGCTATATTTTTTAGAAAAAAGAGTGAATGGGAAATGAGAAAGTGGAGAGAGTATAGACAATCCTGTGCAAACATTTTTTTTGCAAAAATTTTGCTTTGAAAAACAAATTTTACTTTAACAGGTAATAGCTGGAGGAGTATATAGCATCAAAAGAGAATTTGTTTTAAGATAGGAATTATTAGAATGTGTTTGTATGTTTATGGAATTGATGCAATAGGAAGGGAGAAATGAGTGATGCATGAAAGAGCGGTGATCTCTGAAGGTATTTCCAACTACCCACAGGGTAGATCCACCTGGAGGTTCTATTGGCTTTAACTCAAAATTATATCCCAAATCCATCTAGCTCTTTTCACCTCCACCACTACTACCTTGGTCCAAGTCATCGTCATTTCTCAGTGGACTACTGTAACAGCCTCCTAACTTGGTCTCTTGGCTGCCACTCTAGGTGCTCTCAAATCCATTCTCTACCGTGCAGCCAAAGTGATCTTTCTAAATCTTGATTCCCCTGATTAAAACCCTTCAATGACTCACCATTTCCCTTACAATATAGTCCAAGCTCCTTAAGTTGGCCTACAAGAATCTCCAAGATCTGACCCCAAGTCTATGTCCTCATCTCTGACCTTTCTCCCCTTTACACATTAGGTTCAATCATTGTGACCTTCTTTCTGATCCTGAAATTCATGGATATCCTCTCCTCTCACAACCCACTTCCCACCTCATCACCCTGTAGCATGCCTTACTTCTCCTCATCTTTTAAGACATTTTTTCTAGGTTGTCTTCTTTGACCACCAATATTAAATTATGTCCCCTTCTATGTATTCCCATAACCCCCTGAGCTCTTGCTCTCACTGTGCACTGCATACATTTTTGTATCTGTTCAATGATCTCTCTTCCCCAGTAAAGTATAAGCTCCAGGGTTATGAGCAGGGTTAGTTTCTTCTGTGGGCTGTGAGGGTGAATCTGTTCCAGACTTTTGGTGTTTTGTGGGCAATCTTTGGTGTTCCTCGGCCTGTAGAGCCATCATTTTGATCTCTGCCTTCATGTTCACATGGCATTCTCCCTGTGTCCAGATTTTCCTCTTTTATAAGGACACCTGTCATGTTGGATCAGGACCCACTCTAATAACTTAATTTTAACTATTACCTTTTTAAAGATCCTGTTTCCAAATAAGGTCACATTCTGAGTTAGTGGAGGATAGGACTTCAGTGTATCTTTTTTTGGTCAGGGGTGGGGTGGGGAGAAGCACACAATTCAACACATAATACTGTTCTATCTCCAGTACCTAACCCAGGGCTTGGCTCCTGGCCTCTAATTCCCACAATGAATACTGAATGAATGAATGCATGCATGCCTGCATCCATGGACGAGGCTTAGGGCATCTGTGAAATGATAAGAAATGTGGTGTGTGTGTATGTGTGCATGCACACACATGTGCGTGTGTCCATGCGTTTTCCTGGGGAGAGGCCCCCTAGCCTTTGGTCCAATTCTCAGTAAGCTATGACCGTAGAAAGGCTGAGACCCACTAGCTAATAGGGAAAACATGGCACATTTGCTATGGTATGGGGGTCCTTCATCATATGGCCCCACCTTGCTCTGCAGCCTGGCCTCTTAAACCTCAAACCTCATGTCTCCAGTCACACTGAACTACCTGTGGTGCCCTCCATGGGTCATTCTCTTGTTCACCTCTGAGCCTTTGCATATGCCATTCTCACCTCTGCCTCATCCAGGATCCACCCTTGTTCATCTGGCAGATTCCTACTCATCTTTTCAAAAATCAGCTATGGGGTTAACCCCTCCAGGAGAGCTTCCCTGGCCTCTCTGGGAAGCATATCCGCTTCTGGGATCCCATGTTCACACCTTCACTAAAGCACCTACCGCTGACAGATATGTCTGTTTCCTCCACCGTTTCCTCCGAGATCCTGGAGGACAGGGACAAATGCTTACTCACCTCTGAATCCCTACACTTAGGTAGGTGTCAGTCACAGAACATACCTTCAAGAGTGAATTAAAAAAAAAAGAATCACTGCCTGGGGAAGATGAATTCCAATGTAAAGAATAACCTTCCCATTTCAATAATAAAATGTGTTGCTTAGTGAGCTAAATAGTGTTCATCTTCTAGACATTGCATGGCCACTCATGATGGATGATGATCTAGGAAAAGGATATGCACAGATTGGAGGTTAGGCTGCATCTGATCTCCTAGTCCTCTACCATATCTGAGAGTCTCTGATTCCATAAAAGCACTACCTTCCTCTTCTCTTTACTTTTGAGTGGAATAGTGCTTCTGGACTGGAGGGCATATCACCTTTGAACTGGCTGAGTAGGCCAGGGTTAGAAAAGGTACTTTCCAGAAGTTCACCATCCCAGGCAGACTTACAGTGCCTGGCTTTGCCTTCTCAGCACCTCTGACTTCCCATCTGAAAACTGACTAATACTTGCTAATTGTATGTTCTGAGATCCTTTGATGAAAATGCCATAGTATGTAAGTATCAAGTACTGTTATGAATAATAAAAATGGATGAAGTTTCTGTTGCTTACTCCTTGAGAGACATTATAGAAAATGGTTGTTTCTTGCCAAATCACAAGTCATATCTGCATTGCAGAAAGGAGACTGATAAAACACAATAAACCCCTCAGTCCTTTACATTCAAGGTAGCAATGTATTTGCTTTTCCAAGACTCTCCTTAGTCCGTTCTGGCTGCTATAACAAATTACCATGGAATAGGCGGCTTATAAACAACAGAAATTTATTTCTTACACTTCTGGAGGCTGGGAAGTCCAAGATCAAGGCAGCAGCAAATTTGATGACTGGTGAGAGTCCACTTCCTGGTTTACAGATGGTGTCTTCTAGGTGTGTCCTCACATGGCTGAAGGAAATGAGGGATCTCTATGGGGTCTCTTTATAAGGGCACTAATCCCATTCATGAGGGCTTCACCCTCTTGACCTAATCACATTAAGGGTTAGGATTTCAACATACAAATTTTGATGGGGACACATTCAGTCCAAAGCATTTCCTGATTATAAAAATGCCATAGAACCTTTTGGTGTTATTGTGGGTTGTGCTCAGCAGTCTTTCATCAAAGACAATGAAGCCTCACTGCAGCCGCTGTCTAGTGTTTTGTCTACCTAGAGCAGCACTCCCCTTCTGGAAAGTGCTCCTTTCTCCACTCCCACCATGCGGTTGAAGGACCACTGCTATGTTCTTTCAAAACTCTGTTGCCTGGACAGTGATTGGTAAAGATGCAGGCGCCTGATCCAAGCTAGGCCAATCAAAATCTCTCCTGGTACTTCTAATACATTAGAGCCAGTAGAAATTCCTCTCTGACATCAACTCTGGGAGGCGTGAGTACAGATCTGGCCAGCTACCATGTATCCAGCTGTGTGAAAGGAATTAGTCTGAGAGTATGAGGCTGACACTCAGAAAGGCAGAGATGGGAGTCAGAAAAAGAAAGGGAGGGGGAAGGGAGAAAGAGAATCCTGTCAGTTAACAGAGGCTTTTGTTCCAGTTGTCCTTGACTTGCCCATGGCTTGGTTACATTAACCAATAAGTCTCACTTTTTTGCATAAGCAAAATCCAGCTGGGTTTAAGTGTCTGGCAGCCACAAGAGTCATGACTAATATACATATGGAACATGCTATTCGCTCCAAAAATGAATGAAGAGCCTTATAGTCTCCAAGTACTTTCAACTCAAGACAGAGTATTTTCTTTTTTTTTAAACCACTTTATTAAGGTATGATTGACATACTAAAAGCTGTACATTAAATATCAACATATACAACTTGATGAGTTTAGAGATAAGTACACACCTGTGAAACTATCATCACAACCTTTGCCATAAGCATATCCAACACCTCCAAAATTTCTTCCCACCTCCTTCACTATTATTATTATTTTGTGATAAGAACACTTAAACATAAGATTTACTCTCTTAGCAAGTTTTCCAGTATAGAATAGAGTATTGGTAACTACAGGTACCATGCTGTACAATAGATCTCTAGGACTTATCTTTTTTTTTTTTTGGAAGTATAGTTGATTTACAGTGTTGTGTTAATTTCTGCTGTACAGCAAAGGGATTCAGTTATATATATATATATATATATATATATATATATATATATATTCTTTTTTATATTCCTTTCCATTATGGTTTATCTCAGGATTTTGAATATAGTTCCCTGTTAAGACTTATTCATCTTATAACTGAAACTTAGTACATTTTGACTAATATTTCCTTCTTTCTCCATTCCCCCAGCCCCTGACAACCACCCTTCCATTCTCTGCTTCTATGAGTTTGACTATTTTCAATTCCCCATAGACGTGATATCGGGTGGTATTTGTCCTTCTGTCACTGCCTTAGTTCACTTAGCATAATGTCCTCCAGGTTCATGAGACAGGATATTTGCTATCAAACGGGCTTTTCTCAAGATCGTCCACTCTCCCTCCTGCAGTAATGACCTGGAGAGTAAAAGGAAAGAGAATGGACTGACTTGGACATGAAAGGGACTTTACAGGTCACAAGGTCAAACCTTCATTGTACAGAAGGGGAAATGGAACTCCAGAGAGGGGAAGGGACAATGCTCCCAAAGTCACACAGTAAGTTAGCAACTGGGCCAGAACTGGATTCCATTTTCCTTCTCTCTAGTTTTCCACAGGCCCTCAGTCTGAAATTATATAAATGAAATTGCAGTGCATTTTTCTTAAAACACCAAAGTTTATTTTCTTCATGAAATACACATCAACTCCCACCCCCCATTCATTCTATCCCTTCAAGTTTATGAATATGTAAAATGTCAAGAATTTCAAGTTATATATCTTCTGGAAAGTTATGGCCATGACACTTAAGATTTTAGTTCTACAAACTATTTTGATTCAAATCCATTTCTTGACTTAAGCATGAAGGGCTAATGAAGAATCGTCTCTAGTCTTTTCATTTTTCCTCTTGTAAAGCCACTGCTGTATGTAGCCTTAAAAAAAAATGATGTGACCAGCTTTCCTTTTGACAATTGTATCCTTAAGACTTTCACAAACTGATGACATTGTCATTGTTGTGAAATTGTCCTGCAGCCATTGTGAAAATATAGCACATATCTTGGAATTCATGATGAGATTCACATCACTGTCAGGCCCTTAAATATTTCTTCAGAAGGAAATGTATGCAAGTAACAGATCATTGCTGGTTACCAACCTCTCAGTTGATCAACCAAGCAATCAATCCCTGAGTGCCCATTAGGTATCTAGTACTCTTCTAGTTGTTTGGGTAACAAAAGAAATGTAAAGGCCCTGAGACACTTAAGATATATTACTATAGATATACTTTCCATTTTAAACTTGCAGCAGCTTCCTTATGGCAGTTACTCTTGTTTACAATAGGAAGCTACGTGCTACAGTGGAAAGAACACAGGCTTTGGAATTGGGCTGTGTTGGAACTGAATGCCCATTACTAATTGTGCAAACCTGGAGAAGTTACAGCCCACCACCGCCCCTCACTCTCCTCATCTGTAAAGTTATTATAATAAGCAATATATCTAGGGCTTCCCTGGTGGCGCAGTGGTTGAGAGTCCGCCTGCCGATGCAGGGGACGTGGGTTCGTGCCCCGGTCCGGGAAGATCCCACATGCCGCGGAGCGGCTGGGCCCGTGAGCCATGGCCGCTGAGCCTGCGCGTCCAGAGCCTGTGCTCCGCAACGGGAGGGGCCACAATAGTGAGAGGTCCGCGTACCGCAAAAAAACCCAAAACAAAACAAATAAGCAATATATCTATTCATAATACTATTAATTAATAAATAATATAACTCTTCTTAATAACTTACAATGTATACCATCAATTCATAATCAGTGTTAATGTTATTAATTAATGCTAATATTATTAATCAGCATTGTTAATGAATGTTAACATTAATAACTATTACCGTTAATGTTGATATTAATTAATGTTGATGCTATTGATATTTATACTTATAATAAATAAAGTTATTATTATTGTTATTATAGCAATAATACATATCTTTCAGGGTTGTTCTGGTAATGAAATCTTTTACCTGGCATATAGTAGGTGCTCAATAAACGCTAACTAGTATTATGATGGATAACCGACATATATTTAAGTCCAGTTGTTCAAGAAAATGTGGTAACTCAGGGAAGTTTAGCAGGCATTTTAGGCATCTGTAAAGTATAGGAATTAAGAGCCTGGGCTCTCAAATCTAACAGAACTTGGGTCCAATCCCAGCTGTAGCACTTTAGCTGTGTGACCTTGGACAGATCACTGAACTTCTCAAGCCTCAGTCTTCTCATCCCTCAAATGGGGATAACATAATCCACCACATAGAGTTGTTGGCACTATTTAATGAGATAACAACTGGAAAGAATTGATCACAGTGCATTTGCTCACGTGTGATGTTGTTAGGACCTGCTCTGTAGAAACACTATGGCCACTTCATAAATTCCTGTTATTTTTTAAAATTTATTCATTTTATTTACTTTTATTTTTGGCTGTGTTGGGTCTTCATCGCTGCGTGCAGGCTTTCTCTAGTTTTGGCGAGCCAGGGCTACTGTTCATTGCGGTGTGCAGGCTTCTCATTGCGGTGGCTTCTCTTGCTGCAGAGCACGGGCTCTAGGCACGTGGGTTTCAGTAGTTGTGGCTCGCAGGCTCAGTAGTTGTGGCTTGTGAGTTTTAGAGCACAGGCCCAGTAGTTGTGGCCCACGGGCTTAGTTGCTCCACGGCATGTGGGATCTTCCTGGACCAGGGCTCAAACCCGTGTCCCCTGCATTGGCAGGTGGATTCTTAAACAGTGCACCACAGGGAAACCCAAATTACTCTTATTTAGACATCATTTTTCTCTCCAGTATTCACAGGTAGAAACAACTGAGCCACTCTTTATATTCATCTGCTTTTGTCATAGGTGTCTGAAAATAGCATAAAAAAACAGAGATTTAAGGATTACTTTTTTTTTTTTTTTTTGCGGTATGCGGCCCTCTCACTGTTGTGGCCTCTCCCATTGCGGAGCACAGGCTCCGGATGCACAGGCTCAGCGGCCATGGGTCACGGGCCCAGCTGCTCCGCGGCATGTGGGATCTTCCCGGACCGGGGCACGAACCCGTGTCCCCTGCATTGGCAGGCGGACTCTCAACCACTGCGCCACCAGGGAAGCCCCAGGATTACTTTTAAGAAGCACTTAAAGATTTTCAGGATGATGCATCAGATTTCAAGAGGTCTCTATTATTTTTCAGAGCAAGAGATATAGGCATTCAGCAGTAACTTTTCTGGATACTAATGTACTAAGCAGTCTACTGTTTGGGGGACTTTCCAAGAGGAGACACATTGTAAATATATTAAAATGTTTACAATGAAATAAAATTAATCCTCTAGGTACTGTGAGATCGTG